GGGGTACCGGTAATGGCACCAAATTGTTATAGGCTTTTTGGTTTTTTTTACAGTAAATTAGCAAAAAGTTTTGGGACTGATGAAGCCACGGGCTGGCAAAAGTTTCCTCAATAAAGATGCCCAAAATGTTGCACAAGTGATCATTCTTCAACTTTGGGTTTTCTAAACCTTACATCACTATGGGACCAGTTACTGAAGCCTTTGACATGTTAAACTATATGTTTTAAAAATGGTTAAAATGAGAAACACCTGCCAAAGGGCCACTGTCCCTCCATTCTTATTTATTTATGAATAATAAATTTGAAATGAAACTGGGGGGCCCCAAAACCAAAAATAAAATGTATGAAAAAAATTAAAAATGGATTATTTATAACTACTGCTTGACTTTTTTTTAATTTAAATTAAATTTAAACAAGGACTCAAATTTGGGAAAAAAGTCACTTGACTTTTTTGAGTTATCCCCGGGTTTCTACATTTATATTGCATGTTGATAATATATATAAGTATATGTTTTAAAATGAAAAAATTACTGACTTGTAAAACGAACCATAATAAATAAAGTCCTTTTTCGTTATTTGAAATTTAATTAAACCCGTAAAAAAAAAAACCATAATTTTTAAAAATTTAGGAGAAACGTACATATATATTGAAGGGATACGCTTAATATATACTTTTTCATTTAGATGTTTTTTTGATATTATATAAGAATAAGTGTAAGAAGAGACCATATCCGGGTTTAAGGGGCACAGCAGCAGCAGTAGATGGAGTGTTTTTTTGTAAAAATTTAAACCTTCCCTCCGCCCTCAACTACTGCACCACAACAACCCCTCCCCCTCATTAAAGTCCAAACGAAAAATAGACATCGATCCGTTTGACACTTTGAAAAAGGTAAAGAATTGAAGGGGGAAGAAGATGTGGCGCTGCTGCTGCTGCAGCCCCGCAGCTTGCTACATTACACAACCCTTATTTGCACAGAATTGTGTAAATTAAATTATTGGGGGAGTTTAGGTTGTGCGTGTATGTAACAAAAGATTAACTTTCAGAAGAGCAGGTGAGGGTTTTGGGTTAGTAGTACCTGGTCTGCCCGTGGCCCCATGATAATATTAATGTATTAACTTCATCAATTTTTGTCCCAAAATTTAGGAATCTTTATCGAGGAAACTTTCGCCCACCCGTAGCTTCGTCACCAGCCAGAGGTGAAGGTTTTTAGGGGAAACATCCCTTAACCCGGGTCGAAACGTTGACTCCCTCAGTCTTGAGGAATGTAAAATTTCCCGATTATTGGACTGAACCATCAACTTTAGGTTGAGGGGGTGTAAGCCCCTTTTGGGTTTGCCTTCTTTTTGTTAAATTTAATAATTTAGGTTGAGGACTGATTTAACCCCACACTCTTCACCTTCCTCTCTTATTCTTTGTTTGGCAAAAAAATCCACTTTGGGGAAACTTTTTTCAATAAGATTCCAATAATGGCCCGGTAGTGGGTGGCTAAAGCTCCCGCTTCACCACGGAGGGCCCGGGGTTGTTCCCGGGGGGGTGGAAACATTTAACACTTTCCTTACACCTGTTGTCCTGTTCACCTAGCAGCAAATAGTAACCCGGGTGTTAGTCGACGGTGTGGTTTCCCTCCTGGGGACAAGATTGAGGACCCCAAAAGGAAATAAATTAGACAGTCCCCCGATGACGCACACTTTCTTGGTTATCCTGGGTGGCTACCCTCCGGGGGGTTAAAAAATTTTCCAACGAAATCATCTCAAAAATGTTTTCTTCTTCAACCGTTGTTTTCAAAAACTTTTTTCATACAAGTACCATGATATTTAAAACCAAAAGTTAATGCATTTAAATGCTCCCAAAATCCACTCTTTATTTTTTTGTGAAATTAAAAGGACCAAGTACAACAAAAGTGAATTTTTTTGTGACAACGTTTTGCCTTTCCAGGAGCTTTATCAAGCCATTACAAATAATACATGGACACAGACACACATGTAACATCTGGGTATCTTGATTGTAGACGTTTCACCTGGTCACAGACCAGGCCGCGGGGGCGTTGACCCCCGGAACTCTCTCCAGGTAATCCAGTGGCTTTATCACAGATTCTAGGACATAATTAGAAGACAGTAGAACTATATACAAAAGATGAGTTAATAAGACTGATTAATCCGCTGGATGGTGAAATGTCTACAATTAAGGTACCCAGATGTTGCATGTGTGTCTCAGTTTTCATTTTGTCCGTATTGTATACCATTCTTCTACAATACATGGACACAGAGGGTATGCATAGGCTCCGAGTGAGGTGTAATACTAGTGGTTGTAGTAGTAATATAAGTTGTAATGTGTAGTAGTAGTAATACCACACAGTACAACAATCAACTTGCACATGAGTAAGAGGTTATAAAAGCTATTACTTGGGTAACATAAAAATAGGCTAGACAAGTATTTCTGTTGGTGGTTGGATCTGAGAAGAACTCTTTCAGTGTTCCTTCTCTGTTGTCTTGTGTAGCAGAGACTATGTGATGGCAGGGTTTACTGTTTCGAGGAGGATTTTTGCTAATACTTCAGAGATGATGAAGCTGCCTTTATTTTGCTTGATTGTGTTAAAAACAGCGATTAATGATGATTCAAGGCATTTACGTCTGCGGAAATTTGGCTCTCTGATTACTAGTCGAGCATCGTTGAATTTCATGAGGCAATTGGGGGAATTCCAGTGTTGTATGCAGGCATTGTTCAAGTTATCATTCCTACATGCGTTAATGTGTTCATTGAGGTGTGTTCCAATTTATTTCGCACTGGGGCCAAACACATCATGGAACCAATCAAGGAAAATGTCCCGTGTGACTCATGCCTTGCTGTTTGCCTTCCACATCACACACAATTTACTCTTGATAACACTGTTTTTCTTGAACACGCTGAGATTTTCAGAGTGATATACCAGTAAAGGCTTCACTTTGAAATCCCCACTAGCATTGCTACAAAACATGAGAGTCAGCCTGTCTTTCATAGGCTCATGTCCTGGGAGTGCCTTTTCCTCCTGAGTAATGTAGGTCCTCTGGCATTTTCTTCCAAAAGAGTCCTGTTTTGTCACAATTGAACACTTGTTGGGGTTTTAATTTTTCGTCCTCTATGTACCCCTTCATTTCCTGAACATATTTTTCAGCTGCTTTTTTGTCAGAACTGGCAGTCTCACACTGTGTATGCCACTACGATTCTTAAATCTTTCAAACCAGCCTTTGCTGGCCAATATGAGCACTAGTTATAGGCATTTTCTTTACGAGATCATCATGCAGCTGCCTTGCATTTTCACATATTATTGACTGCATAACACTATCTCCTGACAATTGTTTCTCGTTGATCCACACCAACAACAAAGACTCCACATCTTCCAGTATTTGCGATCTCTGTTTTGTAAGCATATTTGCACCTTTCACAACAAAGCTTCCTAGATTGCCTTTTTCTTGGCCATGATAGTAGCAATGGTTGTATGGGGTTTGTTATACAACCTGGCCAGCTCGGCGACACGCACTCCACTTTCGTATTTTGCAGTGATCTCTTGACTTCTATAGTGTTTCTCACCCTCTTTACCAAAGGGCTGGCACTAGAAGCTTTCTTTGCTCCCATGGTAGCTTATTTAGCAGTTACAAGCACTAAAAAGAATGGAATGATACAGAATGTATCATGTAAATGCATGGGATTGTCCTCACTGACTGATAAACAATGGCACACTGGCTGTACGTGGAGTGTTGGGGCTACTCAGGCCGCGCGAACATGCTCCGGACGAATGACTCATACCGAGTTCAGTGACGTTCACTGAGCTAATATTTTGACAGAAAAATGTTACTTATTCTGGATGAATATTACTTATTCCGGATGAATATTACTTATTCCGATGACGACTTAATCCGGGGGTCCACTGTATCATGTTGTAACAGCACCTGCTATAGTGATGAATGTGGAGAACATATTTTTGCAAATTTTACTGTAAAAAACCTTAAGACTCCTATAACAACCAGTGCCATTTATCAGATGCCTCGTACAAACATCCCAAATATTAGTGATAAATTAAAAACACTAATAACAAACAACCAAATGAACAAGCACCCCCACTTCCTAGTCGGAGACTTCAACATTAACCTTGGCCTAACAGATGACCAGCCAGTAACTGATTTCATCAACAATATGAACAACACACGACTCATACCAGCTATAACAAAACCAACCAGGCTGACAAACCATAATTGACCATATATGGACTAATATACTAGCTCCCCTTAAATCAGGGATAATCACAGACAGCACTACTGAGCACTATCCAACCTTCCTCTTAACAAACATTAATAAACAACCACTAACAGCATACTAAGATCCATCGATAAGAAACATCAGTATGAAAAGCAATATAGACAGTGCTTAAAAAACAAAAATACTAGTAAACACTATGCATTAGTCCTCACCAAACTAATAAGAAAGGCTAAGAACATAAGAGAGAAGGAACACTACTGCAGCCCTAATGGCCCATGCAAGACAGGTCAAAGTTGCTTACCGGCTTATAACACTGACCCATCCTAGTCAGGTTCAGGTCACATCCACTTAAGGAAGGAGCACGGCATCATATCTACTAGCACAAGCTAGTCAGGTCCAACTCGCACCCACTTGTGTATTTATCTAACCTATTTTTAAAACTACACAACGTTTTAGCTTCTACGACAGTACTCGGGATTGCAAGTAAGACACGCAGACAACATTTAGGCATCTTTATTCCAAAGCGTTTCGTCTACACAATAGACTTCTTCAGTCGAGTACACAAAGCAGGCAGGAGCAGTAGAGATGTGAAGATGATGTAGTCAGTCCATCACCCTTGAAGATGTAGATTTGAGTTTGTCAGTCCCTCAGCCTGGAGAAGAATTCTGTTTCATAGTGTTCATTCTTATGTTCTTATGAGTGTAGTTTACTTGGGTATTAATAATTTAATGTTTTAATACGTATCTGTGTTGTAACTTAAATTTTGAATATTTTTGTAAAGAATGTTCAATTTTTGCAGATATGCCCCTGACTATGAACGCGAGTCTGACCGTGAAAGTGGATACAGCAGCAGCAGCACAAATTTAAACTCGAATGTAATAAGATCAAATGAAACTACTATAAAACCTGGTGTTAATCCACCCTTAAGTGTTCAAAGGGGAGCTGTTGCCATGTCTCTTAATCCCTTCACAAACCTGCCATTCACTCCAAGATATTATGAGTTATACAGGTAAGAGGCTCCAGTGTTTCACTGCTGTAAACATGTGGGAGAGGTTAACTAATAGTTATACATGTAAGAGGCTCTAGTGTTCCACACTGGATAGGTTAACTAACTTAGTTACTCTGAATTCCTGTGTAACTCTTGACACTTCCTTTAGGGGAATTGCCATGGTGCCAGCAATAGGCTCTGTCCAGAGAAGTGCAGCTACTTTCCTTCTTGAATTTGATTCTGAATAATTTCCCAGGTGCTGTGTGACCCCTATGGGTTTGGCACTTCTTCCATGAATGTAATAATAATAGCAACAATTTGATAATGTGCAAGTTTGGCTTTTTTTTTTTTTTTGGGGGGGGGGAGAATATTATTTTTTTGTTCATTTGTTGTGTTGGGGTGATTAATTCTTCTAGATTAATAAAATTGTGCATATTCCCAAGTCTATCCCCATTTCATTTTTTCTCCTTGTCTGATAAAATATTAAAAATACATCTGTGCCATTTGATGGTCTATCTATACTCATACTACATCATGACCATCATTCATTGATGATTTTAAAATCTATTTTTTTTCACAGGGTTTTCTAAGGTTATATTAAGAGGTTCCTAACTTTATTTACAAGCTTAAGATCTGTTATCTACATCAGCTCATTTTAATACCTTTAATTGTGTAGTCAAGCATATAGGGAACAGGATGAAGTTGGAGCCATCTGTAGACCAGTGATTTCATGTGGTCAACTGACTTTATTTTGTTTGTTATACTCTCTGTTGAAAACAATCCCATAAAAAAAAAATAAATTCCAGGCACTAAAACATTTCCTCTGTTCATTATTCATGTCTCCCAGGCTTCTCCTATATTATACTTACCTGCCTTCCATTTTGAATTCACTACAAAAAAATCAGGTTTACCCTATTCCTCAGATAATACAATATAACCAGAAATGATTGGTCGTGGTTTATGGTATCCAAATAAGTGAGTCAGACCTATTAAAAACACATTCACCAGGTGGGTGGGAAGCTGTAGGGAAGCCTTACATAACCCCAGGAAAATCCTCGAAAATCTAATAATTCTGCTACTTTGAGCCCAGTTTCAAGCTGCTTCCAGTCATGTTATCAAATGATATCAAGAAACTGCTAATAAAACTATAAAAGCTATCCTAGAAAACACCTTAAAGCACCACTTCAAATGAACCTTAAGCTCACAGTTTTGCTTTTCCCTTCATGTACCATATGGGGTAGGATTTTTTTATATTGAATATGCCCCCAAAACTCTCTAATTCAGTTTCAAACTCACCTTCATACATCACCCTTAAAAAAAAAAAAATACGTAAATGTAAAGATAAACCTGTATACAGTACTGTACTGCTATGTTTCCCACTGCTAGAATGTAAAATACCGTTGTTACCCTCTTTTTTTTTTTTTTTTTTTTTTTTTTTTTTTTAACAAGCCGGCCGTCTCCAACCGAGGCAGGGTGACTCAAAAAGAAAAGAAAATCCCCAAAAAGAAAATACTTACATTCATTCAACACTCTCACCTCACACATAATCACTGTTTTTGCAGAGGTGCTCAGAACGCAACAGCTTAGAAGCATATACGTACATATAAAGATACACAACATATCCCTCCAAACCACTAATAGCCCGAACCCGTCCTTTAGAGTGCAGGCATTGTACTTCCCATTTCCAGGGCTCAAGTCCGGCTATATAAAAATAACCAGTTTCCGTGAATCCCTTCACTAAATATTACCCTGCTCACACTCCAACAGCTCGTCAGATCCCAAATACCATTCGTCTCCATTCACTCCTTTCTAACACGCTCACGCACACTTGCTGGAAGTCCAAGCCCCTCTCCCACAAAACCTCCTTTACCCTCTCCCTCTAACCTTTTCGAGGATAACCCCTACCCCGCCTTCCTTCCCCTACAGATTGATACGCTCTCCATGTCATTCTACTTTACTTTGATCCATTCTCTCTAAATGACCAAACCACCTCAACAACCCCTCTTCAGCCCTCTGACTAATACTTTTATTAACTCCACACCTTCTCCTAATTTCCACACTGAATTTTTTGCATAATATTTACACCACACATTGCCCTTAGACAGGACATCTCCACTGCTTCCTCACTGCTGCATTCATAACCCAAGCTTCACGCCCATATAAGAGTTTTGGTACTACTATACTTTCGTACATTCCCTTCTTTGCCTCCATAGATACCGTTTTTTGTCTCCACATATACCTCGCCACACCACTCGCCTTTTTTCCCCCTCATCAATTCTATGATTAACCTCATCCTTCATAAATCGATCCGCCGACATGCCAACTCCCAAGTATCTGAAAACATTCACTTCTTCCATACTCCTCCCCAATTTGATATCCAATATTTCTTTATCTAAATCTTTTGATACCCTCATTACCTTACTCTTTTCTATGTTCACTTTCAACTTTCTACCTTTACACACACACCCAAACTCATCCACTAACCTTTGCAATTTTTCTTTAGAATCTCCCATATGTACTGTAATTCATGCAAGCCCATTTTCTTTAGTATACTGTAATTTATGCAACCCCATTTTCTTTGGTATGTGTAGGTAAATACATGTACCATCCGACTTACGACCGAGTTCGGTTCCGACCAACCAGTCGTAAGTCGAAATGGACGTAAGTCGAGCCTTTCTACTGAATATCAACATCACATTTTTGTAATTACTTTATTTTATTATTTTATTTTGGTATTTAATTTTTTTTCTTTTTATGCTGTTAGTACTGTGTTTTATACTGTAAGGTTTAGGATAAACACTATACAACACAAACAGTTGTTTATTTCCCAGAAATTTGGCATAAAACACACTGTCATAAGTCGAATGGTTGTATGTCGAGCAGCTCGTAAGTCGGATGGTAGGTGTGTACAGTAATAATTTAATTTAGTAAAAGTATTATATTTTACATGGAAATTTTGCTGAAGTTACGTTAATATTTCTGTTACAAAATTATTAAATTATATTTTTCTTAATATTTAGCATTAAAATGTATAAAAAATTATACATTGTCACGAAAAAAGGCCAAAAAAAAAAAAATCCACGAATTTGCGGGGATTTCTGCGAATAATTATTAGTTAGGTTCTGAGGAAAAATCCGCGAATTACTGAATCCATGAATATGGAACCGCGAATTTGCGGTCTCCACTGTACTGATTTAATGATAAAAATTGGTTCATAACAAAATATTGAATTTGCATAAAACAAGGGCGATCTGTGTTGTAATATTTATACATTATTCCAGTGTGTAGTATGTATGTACTGTTTATATTGGTAAGGGATAGCAGTATAAATTAATGCATATATCTAAATGTATCTTGCAGGAAAAGAATTGGCTTACCGGTTTGGGAGTATAGAAATAAATTCTTTGACCTGTTGGATCGCCATCAAACTATAGTTTTGGTTGGTGAAACAGGTTCCGGTAAAACTACACAAATGCCACAGTGGTGTGTTGAGTTCGCACGAGCTCGAGGAAAAAAAGCCGTGGCCTGTACACAACCAAGGCGAGTAGCTGCAATGTCAGTCGCACAGAGAGTTGCAGAGGTCAGTACTATTTAGGTTTTCATGCTTTTGTGAGTCTCTTCAAGCTTTTGTGCCATTAAAGAAAATAGGATTTTAAGGTGAATAAATTAAAGTTAATTTTTCATAAACGAGTTTGATATACAGTATATGTAAATGTATGCTGTAGTATATTTCATATGCGTACTGTATATGACCATTCTGTGTCCAAATTCATTTCTGTGTTCAAAAGTTTATTTAAACAAAATGTTAACAAGTAGAACCTTAGTGGCTATAATGCACCTAATTAGTACTCCATTTTATTCTGTTTATTGTGAAGGGGATGGGATTTCGAAGTGATTCTCTGGTATGGTCACAGCCCGGGTCTTTTCTGTGAGGTGACCCAGCAAACATACCTGGTGTGACTTTTCTGATGCCATCATTTTTCTTGCATGGAATGTCTTAATGTCAGTAACTGGTATCTGGAAAGAACAATCCTTCATAAACTACCACAAGAAGTTTAAAGGCATGATATCAGGGAAGTGCTGGGTTCATTAGATAGGCCATCATGCTCAATACATTTGTCATAACTTCGATGTCAAGATAATTACTCAGTCACTCTCCAGTATGAAAGTGTGCTGTTTTATTGGACAGTGTCTGGTTACAACTCTTGCAACTAAGAACTGGATAATTCTGTAGCATACACAAGTATATATTTTAATGTCAAGCACACTTAGTAAAATATGGCAGTTGAGTTCAATTGTTGCCTTGATGGGAGACTGGTGTTGAGTTAAAACAAAAAAAAATACAAACTACAAGCAGGGGTTGTTGGTGGTATAGGCATTTAAAGAGAGCAGAGTAGATAACTAAGAAGGCATTTAAATCAAGGGTGGAAGGGAGGATAGGGAGGGGCCTTTTCAGATAAGGTTGGAGGGAGGAGGTAAAGGAAGAGTCAAGTGCTAAGGGTTTGAATATCCTCAAGCTGTATTTTTTTTTTTTTTCAATAATGTGTATTTGCTTATATGTGGTTGCAGGGTTTGTTTGCATTTTTTTTTCTCCATGGTTTTTGTATTTAGTGTGTGTGTGTGTGGGTGTGTGTGTGTGGGTGGGTGGGGGGATGAAAGTGGGTTTTGTGACCTGATGTATTATTGGAGTGTGAGCAAGATAACGTTTAGGAATTTATTTAGGGAAACTGGTTAGCTGGACTTGATTCTTGTAGGTCGAATGTATGTTGTTGGCACACTTAAGAAGGGTGGGCAGTGGGGAGGTTGCAGTTCAGAGGGTTGTATGAACAATTGTCAGCTTACCTCCGGGAAGACAGATTTAGTGAAAAATAGTGAACGTGTTTTTTTTTTTTCTGCCTTAGTGGGAGATGTGATATGTTATAAAAAATCAAGGTACGTACACATTTCTTCTGACGGTTAGCACATGAAAAAAAATGGATGTATGACTGTTGTACATGAGTGTACACCAGACAGTTTCAGAATATTGTGCACATGTTCACGAACATCATGTTGGTTAACTGACCCCACATTGTCATTGTGCCACTAACTCTTCCATTCATGTGCAATGTGGCTTCAGGGAATAAAAACCCCTTTAGGTAGTTGGCCTCATTGTTGAACTCTTAATTTGCAAAACTTGTAGTACTGATGGTTTTTTTTCCATTCATTCCCAAGAAATTGTGGGGCTACAATCCGATACTTGGTTTGGATGGAGGATCCCTCTCATATTGACGATGGTGGCTCCTAACATTTGTCTCATTTTGATTTTGCAAATCAAATGGTACATTGTACCTTCCCCCTGTGTAGCTGTCATCTTTGTTCAAAAATTTAATCTGGGCATTCTAATTACAACCTGCAAACAAAAGTCTTAGTTCAGCTATTATATACAGAAATCTTCAGTTTCAGTGCATTTTTTACAATATTATTGCCATAAGTGTTTGAAACTGGAAAAGGATTCTGTGCACATGCTGTTCTGTATCTATTTTTTAATTTACTGTATTTTCCTAGTTTTGTGTCTGGGATGAATTTCACTGTCAGAAACTCTGTATATTTACAGGAAATGGATGTTGCTCTTGGACAGGAAGTTGGTTATTCCATCCGTTTTGAAGATTGTTCCTCATCCAAAACTGTTCTCAAGTATATGACTGATGGTATGTTACTACGTGAAGCTATGAGTGATCCTATGCTGGAGAATTATCAGGTGAGTTAAGTTCATTTGTTAATTTTGCTGAAGTTACCGCACTATTGCATCTGGTATCTTTCATGTTCTAGATCATACTTCCTCATGACTCTGTCTCAGACTAGGATTCATAAATTGGAAAGGAAATATTGCAGGAATAAGTGCTTTTGAGAAACAAGAATGTAAAGTTGGGTGAATGTATGTAGAAGCTTTTAAAATTATCCTGTTGTCATCAGTGCTTATGACAAAAGAAGGAGGGGGCAAAAGATTTTTTTTTTTTTTTTTTTTGTCTCGACATGTCTCCCACCTCCCACCGAGGCAGGGTGACCCAAAAAGAAAGAAAATCCCCAAAAAGAAAATACAGTGGACCCCCGCCTTACAATCAGCTCCCAACTCGAACAATTATGTAAGTGTATTTTTGTAAGTGCTTTTGTACATGTATTTTTGGGGGTCTGAAATTGACTAATCTAATTTACAATATTCCTTATGGGAACAAATTTGTTCGGTAACAGCACCCGAACAGACTTCTGGAATGAATTAATATCGTACGTCGGGGTTCCACTGTACTTTCATCATCCAACACTTTCACCTCACTCATACGTAATCATTGCTTATGCAGAGATACAACAGTTATGCCCAGATACAACAGTTTAGTAGCATTATTATTTTATTACTTTTTTATTAACACATTGGCCGATTCCCACTAAGGCAGGGTGGTCCGAAAAAAAAAACTTTCATCATTCACTCCATCACTGTCTTGGCAGAGGGGTGCTTTACACTACAGTTATCAAACTGCAACATTAACACTCCTCCTTCAGAGTGTAGACACTGTACTTCTCATCTCCAGGACTCTATTCCAGCCTGCCGGTTTCCCTGAATCCCTTCATAAATGTTACTTTGCTCACACTCCAACAGCACGTCAAATATTAACCCTTTGACTGTTTTGGACATATATGTCTTACGCGCCACTGTTTTGGACGTATTTATGTGCGTAAATTCTAGCGGGTTCAAATCAAGCAGGAGAAAGCTGGTAGGCCTACATGTGAGAGAATGGGTGTGTGGTCAAAATCATGCAGCACGCAGTGCATAATGAAAAAAAAAAAACCTGACCATTTTCCTGGATTAAAACGCCGACTTTGAGGTGTATGTATTTTCATATAGTATTTAACGTTGTATTCTCATTTTCATGGTCTCAGGTGATAAAATGGAAAACATATTACAGAAATAGAGATGATTTTGATTAGTTTCATGATGAAAACGACCTTGAAATTGAGCTCAAAGTAGCGGAAATGTTCGATTTTTACCAATGTTCAGGAGTAAGCAAATCACACCACACGTCCAATACATGTCAACTGGGGAGTCTAATATTCTTTCACTAGTGCACTGATATTATTTATACCATTTTTTACAATAATGCAGTAGTTTGCATAACAGTAAATTTTGTATTTTTTGTATGAATAAAAAATAAAAATAGAAAGCAATAGTAATATAAGAGGAGCCTTGAGATGTGACTAATGAACAGAGGATATGTTATTTTAGTGCCAAGAATGTCTACATTGTTTATTCTGGACCCTATTTTGAAATTGGCATCTTTTTTAATTTGCATGAAATTGGCTAAATTGCCAATTTCTGACCACTTTGTTGGATAGGTCAATTGGTAAATAGGTGGTTTCTTGTGCTCAGCTGATAGAAATCACCGATGCATGTATGTCACCGAGACTGCTAACTTTGCGGGAGCGTAATTCCGTGAGTTTTCGACCAAATTTTGTACTTTTGGTGTCATTACCATCGGGAAAAGATTCTCTATCATTTCATAAGATTTTTTTTTTTTTTTTTTTTTTTTTTTTTTCAAAAAAATTTTTGACGTAGAATGACAGTTTCAGAAAGGGGCTTGTAACAGTCAAAGGATTAAAAACCATTTGTCTCCACTCCTATCAAATACACTCACGCACGCTTGCTGGAAGTTCAAGGCCCTCGCACACAAAACCCATTTTTACCCCCTCACTCCAACCCTTCCTGAGCCGACCCCTACACCGCCTTCCCTCCACTACATATTTACACACACTCGAAGTCATTCTGTTTGGTTACATTCTCTCTACATGTCCGAACCCCCTCAACAACCCCTTCTCAGCGCTCTAGATAGCAGTTTTGGTAATCCCACACCTAATTTCCAAACTATGAATTCTCTGCATTATATTCACACCACACATTGCCCTCAGACATGACATTACTGCCTCCAGCTTTCTTCTCATTGCAACATTCATCACCCATGCTTCACACCCATACAAGAATGTTGGTACATTCCTCTCTTTGCTTCCACAGATAAAGTTCTTTGTCTCCATAGACCCCTAAGTGCACCACTCGCCCTTTTCCCTCATCAATTCTATGATTCGCCTCATCCTTCATAGACCCATCTGCTGACACGTCCACTCCTAAATATCTGAATACATTCACCTCCTCCATACTCTCTCCCTCCAATCTGATATCCAATCTTTCGTCACCTAATCTTTTTGTTATCCTCATAATATTACTCTTTCCTATATTCACTTTTAATTTTCTTTTACATTTTTTTTTTTTTCAACAAGTTGGCCGTCTCCCACTGAGGCAGGGTGACCCAAAAAAGAAAGAAAATCCCCAAAAAGAAAATGCTTTCATCATCATTCAACACTTTCACCACACTCACACATAATCACTGTTTTTGCAGAGGCGCTCAGAATACAACAGTTTAGAAGCATATATGTATAAAGATACACAACATATCCCTCTAAACTGCCAATATCCCAAACCCCTCCTTTAAAGTGCAGGCATTGTACTTCCCATTTCCAGGACTCAAGTCCGACTATATGAAAATAACCGGTTTCCCTGAATCCCTTCACTAAATATTACCCTGCTCACACTCCAACAGATCGTCAGGTCCCAAGTACCATTCGTCTCCATTCACTCCTATCTAACACGCTCACGCACGCTTGCTGGAAGTCCAACCCCTTGCACACAAAACCTCCTTTACCCCCTCTCTCCAACCCTTTCGAGGACGACCCCTACCTCGCCTTCCTTCCCCTATAGATTTATATGCTTTCCATGTCATTCTACTTTGATCCATTCTCTCTAAATGACCAAACCACCTCAACAACCCCTCTTCTGCCCTCTGACTAATACTTTTATTAACTCCACACCTTTTCCTAATTTCCACACTCCGAATTTTCTGCATAATATTTACACCACACATTGCCCTTAGACAGGACATCTCCACTGCCTCCAACCGTCTCCTCGCTGCTGCATTTACCACCCAAGCTTCACACCCATATAAGAGTGTTGGTACTACTATACTTTCATACATTCCCTTCTTTGCCTCCATAGATAACGTTTTTTGACTCCACATATACCTCAATGCACCACTCACCTTTTTTCCCTCATCAATTCTATGATTAACCTCATCCTTCATAAATCCATCCGCCGACACGTCAACTCCCAAATATCTGAAAACATTTACTTCTTCCATACTCCTCCTCCCCAATTTGATATCCAATTTTTCTTTATCTAAATCATTTGATACCCTCATCACCTTACTCTTTTCTATGTTCACTTTCAACTTTCTACCTTTACACACATTCTCAAACTCATCCTTTGCAATTTTTCTTTAGAATCTCCCATAAGCACAGTATCATCAGCAAAAAGTAACTGTGTTAATTCCCATTTTTAATTTGATTCCCCATAATTTAATCCCACCCCTCTCCCGAACACCCTACCATTTACTTCTTTTACAACCCCATCTATAAATATATTAAATATATTAGTAGGTTGGTAGACAGCAACCACCCAGGGAGGTACTACCGTCCTACCAAGTGAGTGTAAAACGAAAGCCTGTAATTGTTTTACATGATGGTAGGATTGCTGGTGTCTTTTGTCTGTCTCATAAATATGCATGATTACAGGTACGTCTTACTACTTCTACTTACACTTAGGTCACACTACACATACATGTACACGTTTATTTATACACACTCATCTGAGTTTTCTTTGATTTTATCTTAATAGTTCTTGGTCTTATTACTTTTCCTTTTATATCCATGGGGAAGTGGAATAAGAATCTTTCCTCCGTAAGCCATGCGTGTTGTAAAAGTCAACTAAAATGCCGGGAACAATGGGCTAGTAACCCCTTTTCCTGTAAAGATTACTAAAAAGAATAAGAAGAAGAAAATTGTCAAAGTGGGAAGTCTGAATGTGCGTGGATGTTGTGCAAATGATAAGAAAGAGATGATTGTGGATGTTATGAATGAGAAGAAACTGGATGTCCTGGCTTTAAGTGAAACAAAGCTGAAGGGGGTGGGAGAGTTTCAATGGAGAGAATAAATGGGATTAGGTCAGGGGTTTCAAATAGAGTTAGAGCTAAAGAAGGAGTAGCAATAATGTTGAAGGATAAGCTATGGCAGGAAAAGAGGGACTACAAATGTATAAATTCAAGGATTATGTGGAGTAAAATAAAGATTGGATGTGAAAAGTGGGTTATAGTAAGCGTGTATGCACCTGGAGAAGAGAGAAGTGTAGAGGAGAGAGAGAGATTCTGGGAAATGTTGAGTGAATGCGTGGGGAGTTTTGAATCAAGTGTGAGAGTAATGGTGGTTGGGGATTTCAATGCTAAAGTGGGTAAAAATGTTATGGAGGGAGTAGTAGGTAATTTTGGGGTGCCAGGGGTAAATGTAAATGGGGAGCCTTTAATTGAGCTATGTGTAGAAAGAAATTTGGTAATAAGTAATACATATTTTATGAAAAAGAGGATAAATAAATATACAAGGTATGATGTAGCACGTAATGAAAGTAGTTTGTTGGATTATGTATTGGTGGATAAAAGGTTGATGGGTAGGCTCCAGGATGTACATGTTTATAGAGGGGCAAATGATAAATCGGATCATTATTTAGTTGTAGCTACAGTTAGAGTAAGAGGTAGATGGGAAAAGAGGAAGGTGGCAACAACAAGTAAGAGGGAGGTGAAAGTGTATAAACTAAAGGAGGAGGAAGTTCGG